TACCAAGGGTAGTAGTTTCTGCAGAAGTGGTGCCAAATGTAGTAATTTCTGCAGAAGTTGTGCCAAAGGTAGAAGTTTCTACAGAAGTTTTGCCCAGGCTAGTAGTTTCTGCAGAAGTGGTGCCAAATGTACTAGTTTCTGCAGAAGTTGTGCCAAAGGTAGAAGTTTCTACAGAAGTTTTGCCCAGGCTAGTAGTTTCTGCAGAAGTGGTGCCCAGGGTACTAGTTTCTGCAGAAGTGGTGCCCAGAGTGGTAAATTCTACAGAAGTGGTGCCAAAGGTAGTAGTTACTGCAGACGTTTTGCCCAGGGTAGAGGTTTCTCCAAAACTGGGTCCTGCAGAAGTGGATTCCAGAGTAGTAGTTTCTACAGAAGTGGTTCCAAGGGTAGTAGTTTCTGCAGAAGTGGTGCCCAGAGTGGTAGATTCGTAAGTAGTAATGCCAAGGGTAGTAGTTTCTGCAGAAGAGGTGCCCAGGATAGTAGTTTCTACAGAAGTGGTTCCAAGGGTAGTAGTTTCTGCAGAAGTGGTGCCCAGAGTGGTAGATTCGTAAGTAGTAATGCCAAGGGTAGTAGTTTCTGCAGAAGAGGTGCCCAGGATAGTAGTTTCTGTTCCAAGGGTTCCAAGGGTAGTAGTTTCTGCAGAAGTGGTGCCCAGAGCGGTAAATTCTACAGAAGTGGTAGTAGTTACTTCTGCAGAAGTGGTTCCAAGGGTAGTAGTTTCTGCAGAAGTTGAGCCCAGAGTGGTAGATTCAAAAGAAGTGGTTTTAAAGGTAGTAGTTTCTGCAGAAGTGTTTTCCAAGGTAGTAGTTTCTGCAGAAGTGATACCAAGGGTAGTAGTTTCTGCAGAAGTGGGCCCTGAAGAAGTTGCGACAAGGGTAGTAGTTTGTAAATTAGTGGTTTCAAGGGCAGAAGCTTCTGCAGAAGTTGTGCCCAGAGTAGTAATTTCTACAGAAGTAACGCCAAGGGTACAAGTTTCTGCAGAGGTTGTGCCCAGGGAAGTAGCTTCTGCAAAAGTGGTTTCAAGGAAAGTGGTTTCCAGGGTAGTAGTTTCTGCAGAAGTGGTACCAAGGGTAGTAGTTTCTGCAGAAGTGGGTCCTGCAGAAGTGGTTTCTAGGGTAGTAGTTTCTATAGAAGGTGTGCCAAGAGTACTAATTTCTGCAGAAATTATGCCCAGGGTAGCAGTTTCTACAGAAAAGGTTCCAAGGGTACTAGTTTCTGCAGAAGTGGTGCCCAGGGTACTAGTTTCTGAAGAAGTGGTACCAAGTGTACTAGTTTCTGCAGAAGTTTTGCACAGGCTAGTAGTTTCTGCAGAAGTGGGACCTGCAGAAGTGGTTTCCAGGGTAGTAGTTTCTGCAGAAGTGGTACCAAGGGTAGTAGTTTCTGCAGAAGTGG